GTACCCAGGTTTTGTTGCTGACCATGTCCATCCCTTTATGACCAGAGTGTACCCAGCTTTAAAAGTCACAAAGGTGATGATCTCAAACTGCTTTCTTGAGCATGACAGTGATTTCACTGTAAATGGCCTCCACAGTCACAATATCTCAACCTAACAGAGGACACTTAACAGGAGTTTCATTTTAGTCAGTTGTGAAGTCAGATGGCAGCGGCCCAATCTGGTACCCACTAAGTGAATGGATTTGCAGGGAATTTTATTTGATTAACTCTAAGCTATATCATGAATACCTAAACATTAATTTCCAATGCATTTTGGAATTTCTAAAAATCTAGAAATCTTTCCACCTCACAATAGTCTGTTCTTTTTTGGTCGTCCTTTCTAGATGACACTAAAAGAGTTGTGGAAAAAAAAAAACAGAACATGAAATAAATAACACTAAACAAAGGCTCTAAGAGGTAGTTTTGTCTGGCTCTCTGCACCAAAACAGCCAATTATAACACAATAGAATGAAAACTGCAAGAAAGACATAATGTGACAGATACCTGGAGGAAAAGAAAAAATCCATAATAATGGATTTGAAATATAGTGGAGTGCCTCATTGTGTTGAGGTTATTTCACATATCTTTTTAAAATAATTAATTTGAACGTTTATTTGATAATAAATGCTGATTTTCATTATTAAGTGTCTGTAGGAAGTAAAATTGTCTTCAGAAACAACTTAAACTGTGACTTATACTTCTAAAAAATATCACGGCAGATGATACTGCAGCAGCTTGCGTGTTGCATCAGTACATTGTGCGGATCGATGACTGTTTCCAGTACAGCTCTCCTACTATTGAGTTGCAACAGATGCTCGATACTCTTGCTTGAAGGTAGCTGAGTCTTAATCTCACCCAGACTTCTGCACTATAGCATACCGAGCCTGCTGACTAGCGACTGATGGTTGAGATGAGGACAAACCTGTAAAGAAGTCACATTTTATCTTACAGGTTCAAAATAAGCATACTTGCTATATAGTCTAGAAATTCTGCATTACTCTTGGTAAAGTTTGCTTTAATTATGCAAATTATTTGATATGAAAAAAGAAGAAATGAAAAGTTGTAAGGATTTGATTTTCAGTACTAGTTCTTTTCCCTGTAGATTTTCTGTGATGTCTTGCGTGTCTCTCTGTCCCTCAGTGACCTCCCACTTGAAAAGATATCCGTGTTTGGTATTAGCTGCTAAAGCCCCGGCTCACTATAAATAATGAGGACAGGTCAGATTCAGAGGACAAGTTTACCCCAAGAGAATCAGTGGTTTTGGAGCATAAAAAATGAGGGTAAACAAAACTTTATTTAAATCAGTTTTCATTATACAGTCACAGGCACCAAATAGGAAGTGTAGATATTCAGTCCAATTTACTTTCAGCAAAACAAGAAGATCACTCTTGGGAGAAAATAATGTGATCTGCTTTTTTGGGGGGAAATTCAAGTTGCCACCGATTTTAATAGAGCAGCCCGCTGTGAGGATCGTGTATGAAATGACCTGAATTTTATGAAATATTTGAAGATGAGAAACAGGGACAACACTTTGCTTTTGCAATAACTTTTAAAAAACATGTTATAAAATGCATAAAACTTGATCATAAACTAACACCTTTTTTTTAGTAAGTGGATGATTGCATTACTCATTTTAAAAAGACATGCACTTAGAAAACCACAGGGGATCTTGTTTTTATTGAAACTACCGAACAGTAATTTCCTCCTGTAATTTTCACGCACACCTCTTCAGCTGCCTCCAGCTCTACAATGATTGTTTTTAAAATGTATTCCTCCTTAAAAGATTCTTGACTGTAGTGGCACACATGTAGTGCTTGTTATCTTATAACAGTGTTGAAGACTGTGTATGTGTGGAGAAACTGAAATCGCGGGACGTAGAAGACGTTTTAACTGGCACTCAGAAGAGTCCTGTGACTTAGTGTGAAGTTGGGCTCTCAGCAGTTCAACCAAAACAACATAAGAGCTGCCCTTAGACCGCTCTCCAATTTAAGCTGCTCCAGCTCTACATCACTTGAAATTACTCTGGAAACAAAGGCTGACAGCTAAAGGGTTCTTTTGTTCCTCTGCTCGCCTCTCGCTGACACTCAACCTTGATTCACGTCGGACAGTTTGGCTGCTTGAGTTCAGTTGTAAAGTAGATCTTTGATAACAGTCTTGCTATCATCTTTCAGTTTAACAAAACCTTTAAATGCGACCTGGCTTTTATTTCTGACAGTCGTCTGCCACAAATGAAAAGCCTGTTTTTGTCTAACCTGCTGCGAGAAATAGGACAACAGATTTTTTATTATAACTATTATCGCATTGACTACCCTGCCTGGGTAAAAGTTTGTTTGTACTGTAAAATATCAGTACTAAATTAAATATTTTCAGCACTATAAAGAGGTTAAATTAACATAAAAAAAAAGGTATCTTTCTCTCTTTGTTAAGATTGATGCTCTTAGCACACAGGTGTCAGGAGCCAACAATGCTATTTATGCCCTGGTGGGGACACATTTCTAAAAAGCCTTTTTGGCCAGCATTATGAAAAGGTCTCTTTTAACCCATTGTCATAATTTGAGGCCTAAAGGCATGCAGGGTAATCTGTGATTATAAATGGTCCATACGTGTGCATGTGAGTGTGTTTTTCTCTCTGTGTGTGTTAGCGCTGTGGGACCTGTTCATGGTGTACAGGCCTCTAACCCATCGGTGGGATGGGCTCCAGCCACTGAAATAGGAAAAGGATGTAGGGATGGATGGATGAGCAGAGGTTTATCTTGTACTTTTCCCTTTATTATTATATAATTGATATAACAGTGATGGCTTGCCCTAAAGTTTAGTTGTTCTTTATTATCACACGCCCCCTTGTGTATTCACTCCGTGTTTCTTTGCTTGTATCTCTGCATTTTTTGGGGGTTTTTTGGTGTTCTGAGTTTGCTAGTTTATTTTTGTCACCTTTGTTGTACTTTTGTATACATACACAAAGATATATAAATACTGTATATGCATACACACTCTACTCTAAACAGTATTAAAATATACGATGCTGACATACCTTTTTTCTTATTGTCAGCTCTGACAAGTTGTCTCCTTTCCTTTTATATAACATATGACACTCTGACTCTCAGAATATCAGAATATGTATTTTGAGTTCATAACAAACTCCTTGTTTTAAGAAGAAAATGCTCAGGCATTGTTTGACTGTTTATGTCTATCATCATATGTTTTAGCCTATTAAAGAAATACCATATGGCCACATTAACAAGGTTGCAATCTTGGGAGTCTCAAATGTTTTTATTTTTGAGCCATACACACCTCTCCAGAAAGCTGTCGCCTCTTCCTTAGCCAACATAAACATACATAAATATATGTAACAACAGGACAATAACAACCGTCATATTTTTTTTTCTGAAAAAACTGATTCTGCTTTGTTGGCTCTGTTCCCCTATTCATGCAGGGAGAGATGCATCTGTTCAATGTGACAAGGGAGGCAGATATTACTCATGTTTCCTGTCAACATTTTGGATGGACCGCGACAACTATTCGTCTCCAGGGTTTCTAGGCATGGAGATGGCATTTGTTTTCTTCACGATCAGTTTATTAGAAATCTTCCGCTGTGGTGACTCCAGGCAGTAATATGTCTCAGCAGTTTAAAAAACAGCATTAAATGATTTCTACAATATTCTTACCCCTTACCTAACTCAGGGAGTATAAATTACATATTTCTATTTCCCAGAACCTTTTTTATGGAGGCAATGCCATTGATGCGCTGTCCTAATGGAAGAAAAAGGCCCTGTTGTTGGATCAGAACAGGTTTAATCCCCTTGACGTTTATCCTAGAATTTATCCTTGTTTGTTCGGATGGATTAGAAACTGGTGTCAGACTAAGCTGTGGCCTTTCGCCGATATGCATACAGTGGCTAAAACATATTAATCCTCTCCGACTTTCACTCAGGTTGTTTGTGTCACAACAATCATCACAATAGCCTGGTAAAGAAACCAAAAAAGGGCAAACAAGCTCAAAAAGTGACTTTTTAAAACAGACCTAGTATTTCCAAATCCATACTTGTATTCTCGGACTCTACATGAGTATTTTTGCATGATTCAAACTTTAAAATAATCTTATACTTTTGTTCGGCTGTTCAGTTTAGCCTCTGTCTGAAGCAAGCCCTCTCTCTTCAAGCTGATTGGGTGTTCTTTGTAAAAGAACTGCTGTATTAATTAGTTACTTACATGCATGCAAATCTCATTAGATGACAATGTTTCTTCTAAAAGCATCTGCCACTGTGGACTGAAAGGTAATGCAATGCACTGCAGACCTGTTTAATATGCAGCTGTTGTATGACTCATGTAAGAATTAAAGGCTCGCAAGTTCCTACGGGTAAAAAAAGAATGGGGAACAAGAAAAGTTAGAACCGTTTAGAGTAAAAGAGAACTGAGTAGTTTTGTAATAACTACTCTACTTACTCTACTACTTACCGTGTCAGTACCTGGAAACAATACTATAGTTCAGACAAAACTTATTTTCACTATTTTCGTGTTCTGTTCACAACCAAGAAAAACAAAAGATCAACTTGAATCAGTGACGGCATCGCAGAAAGAGGACACAGCATCACAGTTTCAGTTTACCAGCAAGAGTTGTTTCATTGACACAGAAAATTAAATAAATATAAAAAGCTGGAAATCTGACAAAAAAGAAACAAAAAGAAAGAAAGAAAGAAAGTCTGGGCCAGTCAGGCAATATCCCGTAGGAATCAGAACTTCCCTGAACTAATGAGGCAAGAAAATTAAACCAACAAACAAAGCAGTGAAAAAAACAGACCAAAAAGGAAAATAAATAAATAAACCCTCACAAAGAAGCCGGGGACTGGAAAACTACTCAGTCCATGAGAAAGAGAGTGTCTCATAATATATATTATGTTATAATATATATAATATATATATTTTATAATATATATATTATGTTATAATATATATTATGTCACGCTGCTTATCTAAGAAAGAGAGAAGAAATGATTAAGGGAGGAGGAAAATGCTAAAGTAAATACTGTATGTAACACTATGATTCACAGTTAGAAAATGCTAACTACTCTGAAGCAGTACGTGAATGTAACAAACATTTTTGGGGGAGAGGGGTTACTGAAAACTAAAAATAAAATGATACTCATCAATACCAGGATGCATCTATTTAGTTTGTGCTACTCAGAATGGGTACGCACCTTCAAATAATGAGAAACTTGTCAATCATTTATGCAGTGCAGCAATGTACTGAAATAACAATGTTATGCCAGTGGGCGCTGTTCTTTATAGTGCAATACAATGAAATCAAATGATTAATCCCCCCACCCACCACCGCCACCCCATTTGCAGCCATGAGAGCTGTAAGGTTTTAAGCTTGACACAACAGGAAACTGCCACAGTTTAGACAGCATCCTAATTGTGATGTTAATGTTCTTCCCCATATATCCAGGAGCTGATTCGTTATTTTGCTAACAGGGGAAGCCCACCAACCCCAATCCTATCAGCAAGCCAACATATGTGGATGGCAGGATGACAAGTTGGATGCATCCAACTAAAATTCCTACTGATAATAGTGCAGTGCATGTAATATTCTAGGAACTGTAAGTACTTTATTGTTACCTTCTTACCTAATACTGTGTTGCATTCATGCAACTAAAACCTCATATAAGACACTAAATGGAATACTTAAAAATAGTGTTTATAGTTCATATTATATATACTTATAATATCAGAATAAACCAGGGGGTCTATCTTCACATAAGGAGAGCATGCTGACAATGATATCTGAGCCATATCTGTTATATTGCTACTTAGGATACACTCTATACTTTATACTGATTAAATCATTAAGCATTAAGCTCTTAGTTTGTGTATATTTCCATGGTTCATTGTACATCATTTAAAGCCTCATATTGGGAACATTTACATAAGCAAAAACAGTCCATTCACCACCTTTCAGTCAGGAAATTCGATTCAAGGTTGGAGCCATTTATCAAAACAATAACAGACGTGTTGGTTTTGTAGTTTTTACTGATGCAATGCTCCAACTTACTATAACTACGCTTGATTAGAAAATCCCTGAGCTTCAGATTCCTTCTACTGACAACAACACAACACTTAGTGAACTTGAACATATATTTTAATAAACGTCCAGATACTAATTTGTTACAAATTACACCCAGAGGATGATGTGAAAGTGTTGCAGGTTAAAATTGCCAAGCAGACAGTAATGAAGCATCAAGGACGAAGAGTTTCTTTTATCTTTGCTGTAAGTCATATTGAATGCCACTTCACAGCAGGATGCAGATATCTACGATATGTGAGTCGACAATAGTGGACAAGTCAGGACTTAGATATTTGCAAGGCTTTCCCAGTTTGTATAAATTTGCCTTGGGAATCATTAAAATGAACAAACTTAGAAAAAACAATACAAATTGAATGAACCCCAAGTTTATTCCTCTCGTAAATGAATACGCAGTCTGTTTTTTAACAAACAAATTCAATTTACAGTGACTCAGAATTAGGAGGCTGTTTGTACTGATTTATAAAAGATAAGCAATTTGGATTCATAGATATACAATACATAAACTGTCCACTATAAATGATGAACAACACCGACTCACTCCTCAGTGTCTCTTTCTATCACTGCCTCCGGTGCCTGTAGCTATACAGCAGCTCGTATATTTGCGTGTGACTGCCAAGCAAATTTTATGCGAGCTTTTCGAAATGTCAGTGGAAATAAAACGTGAATTAGGAGTATTTTCCATCACTATGTTGAAAACAACCTGGCATCCCAAATGTCAACAACGAGATCTGCAAGTACATCAGAGAGAATGAGCTGTGTGAACGTGATTGTTGTTACTGCTCAGTGTCACAGCTATTTCATACTTTAACCTCAAAACACAAACAAAGACACGTATACTACTATGTATACTACAGACACGTTAGACAAACTAAAACCACAACTCATAACGAAACGGCAGGTGTTATTTAAACATAGAACCAGTTAGATACAAACTTCTCTATGAAAAAAACACCAATGGTTTGAATACATTTGATTTAATTGAAATTAAAAATGATACTTCTTTGTAAATAGGAGATCATTGAGTGCATTTTCGCAGTTCCAGCTCGCTCTAATTCGACGCATAATTTACAAAAATGCGTTTTTGTAATAACCACGTCTTTTATCTGTCACTGCATGCTGCACCCTCTTCACATTTGCACGACATTGAATTGTGAACAATTCAGTGGATAAAAGGATGGGGGGGGAAAGAGGTCACAGACTGTCAGGAGCAGCACATAAAGAAGCAGAGAGAAATCCACATTGTTTATTGAGAAATGACAGCCAAAGCCAGGGGTGTGGTGTACAAAGAATGAAAAGTCTCATTTTCCAACACTGTTAGTCTGAAGCGGAAATGTACTGAAAAAAGAAGAGAAGAGGTAAACAAGGGCTAGGCAAGAGTACACCAAATGTGACCAGTGAGCCAAAATAAAACTTCTATGCAGTAGATTTATGCTGTCAATGAATATTTATTGATCCTTGTACTGTCAGTATGATGTAAACAGGTGACAGATTTAACGGTGCTATATTTAAAAGTGCTGTGCTCATACGCAATCACAGAAGTGTGAGGTTTAGCTTCCTTTGTTGAAATGGTAATTATTATACATTATCATAAACTGGGTCTTACAGCTTCAGCTACAGCACGCAATATATAACAGTGAAGGCTATAAATACATTGTAACCAACAATATGTTTATAGCTTATATTTTCTAAAATATGAGAGTTAAAAACAACCAAAAACACACACAGATGATGAAACAAGTTGTAAAGAAATCAATAGTGTAGTCAAGACATATTGAGTTGGCACACTTTTATACGTATTTTTTACACATTGGCACAGGAAAAGAGAACCTGAGGTTTATTAAAAGCCTGTTTGACTGTCGATGGCTTGTTTGACTTTTATTGGCACCGTTACAATTTTGGATCTTATTTTAAAAAGACAGTCACTGACATTTTGTTTGCATCAAATGACTTGCATCAGCTTAGGCATAAACATCAACATCGTAATATTTCTCATTTTCATTTGCTTAAGCAATTTGCTGTATTAGTACTCGCATCTGAAGCTCTAATCCTCCAGTTTTTGGTAGCGCTCTTTAAGCTTTATGGAGATAAAAATGTTCACATACAGGATATTTTTCTTAAAGACACAGTGACATTAAAAATACATTTGTAAGGCTGTAATCCTGCTTCAACAAGTTATTTAACTTGCAACAAGTAAAATTATAATGATTGTGGAGCTTTCGATTTTGAGTCATTCAAGCGTAATTCTGAATGATTTTTATTCAAACCCTCTTTCGGCTGTCGTGATCCACATATTTAAGCCACATAGTCTACATCATAATACACAAACTAAAGATCCTCCAACCATCATTTCACTTCACTTTACAGAACATAACTTTAATCCTTTAATTCAGCCTGGAAACAGCGTCGGCCAAACTTCTCAAAACTGCAGAATCACCTTTTAGTAATTGGCTAAACGCACTACTTGGTCGTTTCTGTATTTCCCGCTGCGCCGCTCCTCTTCACACGATGTCCTCTCTCATTTCCCTTTGTGCTTGTTGAAAAGAGCGTAGAGGACTTTCAAGGTTGCAGTGGTGTCCAGAGAGACAATATCTGTCACAATATTCAGAGGAGACATAATCCACATGCAGCATCCTTAAGCCACTGAGGCGGTAAGAATATGCGGACACTTTTTACCAGCATTAGCTAATAGCTACTCTCACAATCCATCCTAAGAGGTCATAGATCAGGAGGACAAAAAAAACATTAGATGGAAACTTAATCAATATGTCCTTGGTGAGATAAGATCCCTACAAAATTGCTCTCTGTTGTGAGATGCTCTGACTGAATGAATGTGACAGAAAGATCGACTTCACCATTGGCTAACCTAATTAATTCACGCAGCATGCTCTCATTTTAGGCCCTGAGAGCTGGGATTCCTCATTCAGTGGCTGCAATTATGCCGTTAATTAAAAAGACACTAAAAATGAATTAAATTACCCACTCGCTCCTGGCACAGATTAATTGTGCTAGTCCTTACATTAACAGTTATCGTGTCGAGGATTTATTTTACAATTACAGGCTCTGTGGCTGGGAGGCAATATGGTGGGACAGCTTTAGCGATCTAAAGAGAGGAAGATTCAAGTTTAGAGGGAAGTTCCTCCTGTCAATAGCGCATCTGCAGGGAAGTGGAGTGAATCTGCTTGCCACTGATTGATTCCCACACTTAGAGGAGTCAGTAACTCAGCCGGTCACCTGCTCGATTTCACTCTCCGCCTTATGGAATGATGTAGTCTATGTGACCGAAGGAAATTACCCAAACACACACATGAGCGTTGCTGATGGCATACGATGTAGTCATACCGCATGAACCCACCACAGATGTATGCTTTAAACTTGAAAATAAACAAAAACGAATGCTGTAGCTTTATGACTTCCTAGAATTTGAACCTTTTCATGTGTACATGTGGCCATTAGAGGTCATGAGTATATGTCAAAGAAAGTCAGCATCTTGCATGCTAAATAACATAACATCCATGAGGGCTACCTGCAACAACATCACAAGCAAACAGTGATTGGCTGTAAGTGCAATTGGCGTTTGGCAAATTCTTTTTATGTGGATGGGGCTTACAACAGCAAGCCTACACCATTAAAAACAGCCCCCAAACACACAAACATGATATTTTGTTATAATAAAAAACTAACCTAAACATACAAAACCTTGATCTGGTTCTTGATCTAATATTGACAAAAATTATGTTTGTAAATATTGAATACAGTTGATTACACACTGTAAAATTCACTAAAGCTGCCATTAATCCATCCATTTTCTGCTGCTTATCTGGGTCTGGGTTGCAGTTTAAGCAGAGAAGCCCAGAGCTCCCGTCTCCCCCAACCTCCTCCTCCTCCAACTCATCCAGATGGGGGGACACCAAGGTGTTCCCATGCTACCTAAGAGATGTAATGTCTTCGGTTTGCCCTAGCTTCGCTCTGAGGCCTTCTCCTGATAGGATATGCCTGAACCACCTTGATTAGTTGGCCCTTCGGATACCCAAACCACTTCAACTGTCTCTTTTCCATGTGAAATATTAGCAGCAGTCTTCAGTAAGACAGATAACACAAATTCATTCAGATAAACACCCACACATTGATATAGCCTAGTAACAGTAACAGTAAGGATCAATCTCTGTGTCTAATCATCTATAGTGATACTCATCATGGCACGAGCGGCGCTCATTCATATTCAGCACGCTATTCCATCTCCCTCTCCAAAACACTCTCAAACTCTCACTCCACGGTGTAGAGCACATTAATTCAGCAATCCCCTTCCTTGCATGACATACAAACACATTTTAGCATTTTTTCCGTCATCCAGATAAATTCTCCTGATAAAGGGCATCATCACTGAATTAGTTTGACATTGGTGTCTTGGAGCGCTGTAGGATTTCATTTTTTCATGGTAACGATCATTTTATCTGCAGGCCTTTTTTCTTCTTCATCATCTGTGCCTGGCATTTCAATCTCAGTAAAACAGTCATGAACAAGTTCTGAGTGTGTTATGTGTGAACAAAGTGGATTTGTCTCACCTTGTGGGTCAACATTGGAGAGCTGAAAGCCTGTATCCTTCAAGAGGTCCAAGGCCAAGGTGACATTATGAAGCTAGAATTTTTTGAAAAAACAACAAAAAAAATTCAAATGAGATAATTCTGCAATGAACCACACTTATTGTAAGACTATATCACATACAACAAAAGCTATATTCTACCCCACTTTTGGTAAAAAAGTTGACTCTGTAACAACAGTAGAGATATTTATTGAATAAACTGTACTTTAGTGCTGAACTTACAATTATGAAGTGCTTTAACTTTAAATTTGAAGATTTCCATTTTATAATACTTGTATATTTTATTCCACTATGATAATATACTACAAGCCTTTTGTACTCTGGTGCTTTTATCGCATAGTAATAGCTATAGCTACTAATTACTTTTAAAATCATACATCTATTTTCTTAAATGCTTTCCCAACTAGGGGCATGGGAGGGCTGGAGCCTGTCCCAGCTAACATCTGGCAAACACACAGTATGCCCTGGAGTATTATACAACCCTGGAAATGTTAGTGGTCCATCACAGGACCAGCACAGAGAAACAGACAACCATTCACACCAACTACAGCTAATTCAGAATCACCAAATAACCTGACATTTATGTTTTTAACAACAACAACAACTTTTATTATGGGGACCGTATAATATTCATTTGATCATATCATATCTTTTAATGGGCACTGTTCTGGGTCATGTTTTAGTACTGTATCCAAGTGATCGGCCGGGAATTAGATTGATAGATGATCAGATGAAAAAGTGTACTTCATTCCTAACACTTGTGAACTGAATAAAGGAATTTGTGTGAATGCGTACACTGCACCAAAAATAAAATACATTTGAACAAAATTTTGAGTTATATTTTGAGAAAATAAAGCTTTGAATGTGGCATGAATCCATATATGTGAATCTATACTTTACCATCTCAGAGTCACTGACAGGGGTCAGGTTGAAGTCAAAGAGCGGGATGAAAAAACCCTCCAACTGTCCAATCAGCAGCAGCAGAATCACACCATCAGCAAACTGGACAGCAAACCCACAGAGCATTGGAACATTGAAAGTGATAAGGGAAGTAATCACTGAGTCTATTTTTATCAAAAGAAAGCCTGTAAGCAGTAGAAGGTTTCCAGCTGTTGGTGTATACCTGTTTGTCCATATCTATCACCTGCAGACCCAGAGATGATATATGCTGGTTGACAAAGTGTACCAGGGCCTACAACAGAGAAATTATAAAACTGTGCAGTTTGAAATGCAACTTGACAATTTAGGGTATCTTCATCAAAACCCGAAGCATTAGTTGGAATGGTTAATATATCAGACTCTTAAAGTAAGACATCTAAACTTGTTCATTCTGCACCTCGTGTAGCTCACTCGAAATCAAGGAAAGTATTAGTCAGCCAGCAAAAAACGACTGCACTTTTAAAATATGAGATTTTTTTGTCTCTTTCTCTCTGTGAGCTGCTTTGTGTCAGCCTATAGCTCATTTCAGACTTTGTTGTCCTGTATTTCAAGTGTTCTCACAACTCTTGCATTTAGTTTGTGTTCAGGCATTTAGTTATCTTAGTCAAATATTGGAACTTCTGGCTGTCACGATCCTGGGTCTTAGGACCCAGTGTTTTGAGTTTTAGTTAATCTTAATGTGTATAGTTTGTTAAGCTCATTAGGCCTCCTATGTTCATTTGCTTATTAGTTCCCCCTTGTGTTTCCAACCCATGTTAAGTCTCCCCTGCCCTTCATGTCTCTCTGTGCCCCCTCTGTTCTGTTTATTGTGTGTCTTTGCATGTTTGAGTTTCTTGTTTTCTGTCACCCTGCATTGTGCATTATGTTCTCATGGTTGGTCTTTTGTTACTCCCTCTAGTCTAGTCTCTTGTGTTCAAAGCTGAGTATTTCCCTCTGTGTATTTTGGTTCTTAGACCTCTGCCTTATGGTTTGTCTCTGTTTCTTAGTTGCTGTCTCCACTGTCTAGTTCGCGTCTCTGTGTGATACTTCCTGTTTTACTTTGAAGGTCCATGCCTCATGTGAGTGTTTCTAGTTTTGCGTCTCTGTCTCGTCCAGTCCTGATTTCTCCCAGCTGTGCCCTCCTTCTGTGTCTCATTCCCTCGTTATCCCTCTGTGTATTTAAGCCCTGTGTTTCTCTTTGTCAGTGTCGTAGTCTCCCTCATGGCTGTGTTTCCCTGTGTGTTAGTCATCCATGTTCCAGTTTAGTTTCCATGCCATTCTGCAATAAAGCAGCTTTTTGAGTTTAATTTCGTCTCCGTGAGTTTGCGTTTGGGTCCTCTCCTGCCTGCCACACAGCCGAACATGACAGAGGCTCCAAGATCCTAAAATTGAGTCTTCAAAACAGGATTTCACTAACCCATGAGTGTTGTCATGGTGGCTACTTCCATTTTTTTACATGCAGTCTGTGAAAATTATTTGATTTTTTTTTAAAAAAAGAAAGAAAAAAAAAAAGATCATGCGCAACAGTATTTGAAAATCATCTTTTGCAAGAAGGCCAAAAAGCCTTACAAGCACATTGGATTAAGAGTCCCGTCCTTCACCAGCCAGCTCTGTTCATCTGCCATGTATTGAAGGTTCAGATCAGGCAACAAACACACAGCGTGACATTTATCATTTGTGTTAACACCACTGGAGTTCCTCTCTCTCTAGAGATGAGAAAGTCAACACCTTTAAAAAATCTCGGCACTTCTTTACTTTTTCTGGTGTCCTTGTTATACCTTTTTCACTGTGTTGACCTTGTGAGCCTCAAGCTTCAGCAGTTGCTCGATGGGATCTTCCCCTGGGTGACCAGACAGCCAAAAAAATGTGTTAGTAGGCTGTAATGTTTTTGGATGACATTCAAGATGTCACATCAGCTCAACCTCTGACCACTCTCACTCACTTTCAGTATTGCTGAGGGAGTCTGTGTCGCTGCTGAAAAGGCAAAAAGGATTTATATATATATATATATATGAGGTGAGTTTTTCTTCACATTTACAGGATCACACGAGGCAGTAAGCACCTCACCTTCCCTCTGTTAAGATTTCCACTTGCACATCTGATTTGATTCCACTTTTGCTGACCTGGGTGTACAGCACACCACAATGAGCAACAATTACACAAAGTGTGTCTGAAACCATCCTGGAGCAAAAGAAAAAGTGCCAAAGTTTGACAAGAACAACTTACCTCTATGACTACAACTTCAATCTTCACATCAGAGGGCAAATCCAATTCAGGCTGGAAACATCTCACCATGGCAACAAGCAGATGAAGGGTGGCCAGAAGGTCCTTGTTGTGGATGACTGACAGGTAAACAGCAGAGGACCAGACACACACAAAAGAAAAATCAGCCGATGCGATCAAACTCTCTGCTACCAAGTATGCACACAAAGCAGGGCACGAGTGTCTTTGATAAATAAGAAACTGACACTTGGCCCCATAACCTACTTACCATTAGTACTCACCAGCAGCTATTTTCAATATCAATCCAGTTTTCAGCAAATCTAAACAATAGCATTTATTTTTATCTATTTATGTCTTCACACTGTAAGTAAAACTTTCTCCACAGCTAATGATCGGAGCACTCCCATTAAGAACAACTCCATGATGACCCTGTTAGACAATATTACCATATTATATTGACCTTCTTGGTAATATATTATCCTTATTATTACTCCTGTTGCCTAACATTAAAAGAATTTAAATGGTGATGCATGTACAGCCCTATTTTTAGGTTTTTGTTTTTTTAATAAAAGCAACAAGCAAATCCCATAAACTGAGATTTTATTCAGACTAAATCAATTCAATCAATCAAAATTCAGAATGTTTAACATGAGACAATTTACTCTTTTATGAAAACTGTTAGCTCAGCTGCTGCCATCAAAGTCAAAATGACCTTATTTTTTCTTAACATTTTCTCAGTTCATCAAATCATTGGATTTGATTTTTATTTACATTTTACACTGTACACTAACTTTGTTTGAATTGGGGTTGTACTACAGAACAACACATGGTCATTTTAGGGACCTTTTTTGCTTGCAGATGAGAAATTAAAAAGGCAGGAAGGTGGTTCCACAACTCCAGATCGTAAGCAATGCCATTGTGCTTGCGACCATATTTTGATTCAGTATTGTTATCTCTAGAATAAAACTGCACACTGCTGACAGCAGTAAACATGATTATCACCAAATCATGTTTAACTTTTAATTAGCATTCGCACAGATTAGTCTTTTTTGATACGTTTCCCTGTCTTCTATTTGGATTCACCCTGAACAAAACGCAAAGGAAGGCAATGAAAGAAAGTCAAGAATCTGACAGCTGCCCTGCCAGGTTATGTTGTGTCAGCCCAAGAAAGAACATTTTAGGTAAAGTGTTCAGCAGTCTATAAGTTATTTCTCTGCATAACCAAGCAACCAGCACTGACATGTGATTAAAATGAAACCCTATAATGTCAGGAAATTTTATCTCCACCAAAATCCTGCGCAGTTGGTGTAAGCTTACATGGTACCCTTGTGATAGCACCAAATCCTGTTGAAACGAGAGGGTTGCCAGAAGAGAACATTTGTTGACTTGTTTGTTTGCGAAGCCCAGTCAGCAGCATGACTCACGTTTAACGTTCCATTTGATCTGACTGCTGTCCTGCGTGCCCAGTCTCTTGCCCAGCTCCTCCATGATTATTTCCAGCTTGCGGATCTGAGCTGTGCTGGTCAGCGCTATCTCTTCCACATTCAAATGCACGTCGGCCAACCTGGCTGAAGAAATCAAGAAACAACCGAGTATCATTATAGGGTCTGACTGACAACAACCTCCAGCTTTTTAACATAATATGTGTTTGTTTTTCATCCTCTCAGTCAAATCACTATCAAACGCAAGTAAGTATGATAAATGAAATATCAAATATTCATTATCTCACACAACAGGTGATGAAGTACCAGTCCATCATACACATCCTCCTCCAGACTCTGAACAACAATGTGCTCGGGTTTCAAAGTCTTATTGATCCAATCAACCAGTGCCTACCGAGATACAATTCATCACACGGTCAGAGAAATTATCCGCTTTCATCTTCTTGCATACATTTTTCCTTTATCAGTGTTGCAGATGAACAAAAAAAACAGCAAGAGACCCTGTTTTTAAAGATTGTGCTTTCGGATCCCGAAACAGATAATAATAATAATGCAAGATACAAGTACTCATCTAAAAGAAAGCTTATATTTCACTTGTTTTCCTCTCAAGTTTACATATAAGACGTCAGAATTATTTCAATTTTTCCATTTGTGTGAAACATTAGCGCTGCCCTCTTTACAACAATATGTTTAAAATTCTGATCCAGCAGAGTCTGCTGGCTCCTCGCCGTGACATCTGTCTCCCATCTTCTCTTATAATTATGCTCATTAAAATTTCACCCATCCTCACACCTTATTCCTGTATGCAGCCCACTAAAGACACAAAGGTAATCTCAGATCTGCGGCTGTCCAGGACGGGCGTTTGATGTTACAGTAAATGTGAAATAGAAGAAAGCGAATCCGATATGTGCAAGGCAGGGACTCATTTCTTACCTCCTTCAGCTTTTCAAGTTTGGGGTCTTTTAAAGATGTTGGTTGTATGAGTTTCCTCTTCTCCCCTGTAATGGACATGAAAACAAAACTGCGCTAGTCTCTTACGTCACCCAAAGTGCATCTGATAGCTCTCTTTAGAATTTCTGCTTTGAATATTTCAGTGATAGGTTTTACATGTTTTGGCAGTACCACTATGTTTGCTGCTTATTCACATATACTTTGAGGTTGGCCATTTTCAAATACATTCCCTTCATACATCCAGCCCTCCCGAGCAACATAGAAATCAGCAGAGCCCGCAAAGCTGTTTCGGTTAGTCTAATCTATCTCGGCAGAACTTCTAACTTGGCAATATAATTAAGCTGCGAGAATCATAATTTTATGTGGAGTATGGATCAAAGAATTATTCGAAATCTATTGCTTTACTTAGAAAGACAAGCCCACTCCAACTCTGCTGTATGGAGCGTCTTGCATCTTTATGCAATGCTTTTGAATTGTGGCCAATTTCAGCTCCCAACAGAACTGCTTTCTCGATGAAGTCGGTGTTTTATAAACCCATCATTCGGTACACAAAAACTTTGATACTAGCCGGGGAACATAGTGGAGGATTCAGCAAATTAAAAACCAGATATTCACCCCAGGAGGTGGCAGAGACCAGAGCACACCAGATTTCACATGAAAGAGAATACTGGACCTAAACTCATTTCCTCCATGTCTGCTAAATGTGTAAATGAGCAACTGTCACCTTTCAAGTTCACAACATCAGTGCCCCAAATGATCCGAAGGTCATGTCCTGCAGGTTTAAATGATTACAGATAGACTGGACACGTCTATATTCATTATCCTCATTATATAATATTAGCGAAAGTCTAATAGAAATGCACAAGCCAGACACGATTTTCAATATGAGGTCACTGGGATGATCTTTTACATGTGCCACATGAATCACTGATGACTAAGATTGACCTCTTGAGTAAATGCAAACATACCCTGAAAAGACTCAAGTTCCACAGGCTCTTCTTCTTTCTGATAATTAAAGATGTTCTCCTCCATCATTCCTCTGCAAAGTGATATCTTCACCTCTGCTGACCTGTCAATACATTTACATAAAATTACAACAAACTACAGGAATTTCTAATACACAAAACATCTACAAAAACAGTGTAAACTCCATTGTTCCATCTACAAATCCAATTTTGAAAAGATTTCCATGCAAAATAAATGAGTTTGGACTCATTTGAACAGAGGTGGTGTCTTGTGGTCTACTAATTAAAACTGTACATTTTTTTAGACATGAATACAACATCTGGATTAAAGGGAACATGAACCGTTCATATAAGCAGCAAACAGCAAACTTGCAAACTTTGAGAAGGGTTTATTAATGCTAAAAGGTACAGAGTTTCATTGTTTGCATTGTTGTCCAGATGTCCTTTTCAAGAAGACCCTGCTTATTTTGGCTAAACAAAGTCAAACCACACTCTGCACAACAGCATGACTCCTTATTAAAATAGTCCAGATGGTAAAATCACCTTCCTCTAGTCAGAATAGTCAACTATTGAAAATATTGGGAGCGTTCAATTTCCTACTTTGATGTAAAATACAAAGAGGAAGATAATAATTCTATTTCAAGCAAGAACAGAAAAACATTTTACTTTCAATCAGTTGGTCTTAAGACTTACCACATGCTTGGACTGTTATTAAAAGACACCCAGCAGGAAACATAGCCCTAATATAACCTCTTCCAAAGCATGTTGCTGGCTTCAAATTCAAAATGTGCATCTCTTTTTTTAAACACTTCGCAGTTTTACTATTTGTCTTTGCACCCCAAAGACAAGGTTTAAAGGATGTGCAAATCACTGAATTCTGCTTTCATCACAATACACAATTTGTACACAATTTGTTCCAACTTTCTCAGGGGGGAAAGTGGGTTGTAAAGCACAGAAGAATGAAGAAACACTTTCTCTATGAATATGTTTGGCAGAAAATACTCTCAGTGGTGCCTCAGTAAGTGTCCGGAGCCATACTACTCAGTTTTCAGCTGGTTTTGAGGACTGACCAGCAGTGAAAAAAATGCTGGCTGTGATGGCAGACAGCTTACCTTTGAGAGGAAATCTTGTATCTCAGAATTGTTGCTTTTAAAGTACAAAGACAAAAACAGCCTTGTGCTCAGCTCAGCCACACAGAACTTCTAATGCAAGTATATTACTCTGACTGAAGGTGTTACACGTTTCTAAAAACACAGAGAAACGGAAACTGATTGGGTTTGGAATCGATCTGTTCCAAAAACACGTTATACCAAAACAGGAAGCCACTTAACTTCCTCACTTCTTTTTTTCCCTTTTCTTTTTTTTCTCAACGGCAAACTCATTAGATCAAGAACTTCAGGTCCCTGCAGAGTTACAGGGGCTGGTCTTGTTTCTGTGAACATTTTGAATCATATGGCCTGAGACAAAGCACAGCAAACACATAAAGCAACACACTCTGACAAAACAGACGTGACCTGGAGCTTGTCAAACGGTTGTTTCCTGGATCTGTGGAACAGAAACGCCTCGGTGAGCAACTTCTCTTTCTCTGGGTGTTTAGATTGTGTGTGGCTTCCTTTTCCTGAGGTTGACAGTAACTTTCAAACAAGGTCATAAACAAAAAGTCTTTTTGAATAAGCTTACCTTCAGCACTCTGGGAGCGACTCGGCAGAATTGAGTTCCTTAGCTGATGTCAACTCCACAAAGTGTCAAAACAGCGATATATCAGAAGTGGAGGGCTGTACTCAATCTGAATAGACTCTTGTTATTTCTATCAATGCAAAGGTCTGGCTGTACTCAATTTCAAACTGTTGGCTTGAAAGAAAATAACATGTCACAGGGTTGAAAAGGAAGATAAGCGCATGAGAGGATGTGGCAGAGAAGAAGATAGCACTTCCTCTTTTTGATATTGGCTTCGACGCCGAGCGTTTTCTGATAGGAGCGTTTATGCTCTGTGACACGAACCCTGGATAAGACTTTAATAATAAGTAGTCATTGAGCGAACAAGAACAGGGAAGACTCTTGGGTATAAGTGTATTGTTTTGAAAACTACACTTCAGGAGGGCCGTGAGAAGCGTGACACTCAGAGGCCTGAACCACTCAGGCTCGACTCACACATCTCCATCTGTGACCACCCGGATCAATTTGCCGTCATCTGGCCTTCTCGGTTACACAAACACATTAAAAGGAAAAGAAAAAGAAAAGCAAAGATAGACAACAAAACAACGACCTCTGTCTGTGCACTGGCCTTGTTGAAGAAAAGAGAAAGGACCACCCATCAGTCAGACGAGGGGCAATTTAGGGGATGTGGAAGGTTACCATAGCAACAAAGGAAAGAGACAAGAAAATAAAGGCCTAAAATAAACCTATAATTCCTTTAGCTAAACCCAAATTGAAGGAACTGTCTGTTCAAAAGCCAATCTCGCTCAGAAAGCCAAAGCAAATTTAACCAATCTCACAAGCAAGAGATAAAATAAAATTCCCATTCTGCTTGATTCCACACATTTATTTTTCTGATAGCCTAGATTAAACAGAAAAAGAAAAAAAATTCAGACACACACTGGTGAACCAGCCAGTGTTAACTCTGTCTGAATTGACTCATCCATTCTCTCAATAATTCAGACCGGCTCGAAAATGCATGAGCAGTCGTGCACTGTACATCTTAGCAGGTCTTGAGGTGGCACCGCAGGGCCAGCTCTGCTTCAGGAGAGTAGTAATAGGTCCAGGTCTCCTTGGAGAGCTGTCTGAAAGGCTGGTCAATATAAAGATACTCTGACTCTGACTCTCCTGGGACGGCAAGAACACACTGCAGTCAAGGCAGGAAGCAACAGCATGAACTTTTAAATATGATTTAAAATATGCGTACTATGCATAGTTCAGAGAAAACATGCTATTAAAGAGTATAGTATAGGAATAACATGGAACATATTAATAATGTACAGTAAAAAGAGGTAAAAAGAAAGTAAACCATTCTTCAACTTTAAGATTTTATGTATCAGGACTTTTTGTTAATAATTTGTTCTAAATCAGGTCTTAAAATTGTTTAATTACAGCCTTGGATTAACAGCAACATGACACACCTTACCTTATCGTTATTTATGTAGCAAAAAAACAAGCCAAAACATAAAAGCAGTGTGTGAAAAAGTACACCCTTACTGTTTCAAAAGCAATTAAGAAGGTAGGTAGGCAGCCAGGTGCTGCCGATCAATGCACAAGAAAAACTGTGAGCACAAAAGAAGAGGTTTTGGCAGTTTGTAGATTTGGAGTATTCAGGTATGTGTTATTACAATGCCACAGGGGGAAAGACATCAGCAGTGATCGTAAAGAAGCAACTCTTGCCAATTTCCAAACAATTTGTAGTCAATCATTGTATAATAAGAAAAAATCTTCACAAGTAGAAAACATTCACAGCACTTACCAATCTACAGGGCTCGGGGAAATTGCAAAAGAGAAATAAAATGCTAGAGCTTTGCAAAGTTGCATTCAAACAAACCACAAGCCATCTGGTACAATGTCTTTTGGACAGATAAGACCAAAGTGGAGATGAAATAAAAGCATATCAGTATAAAGACTTCATACCAACTATTAAGCACAGTGGTAGAGGGTAGTATTCTAGAGTCAAATGGTAAGGCCATCTGTCTGATAGTCAAAGCTTGACCTAAAGTGGTTGATGCAACAGGACAATGATACCAAAAAGAGCAGCAAATCTACAACAGAATGGCTGAAAAAAGAAAAAAAAAATCAAACCTTAAAAGAACTGCAATGCCTGCAAACCTCAATGAACTGAAGCAGCATTTTAGAGTTTGCAGAAGTAGAAGAGTGGGATAAAATTCCTCCAAAATGACATAAGATTAGTTCTTACTTTTTCACACACTGTTTCTGGATTTAGGCCTAGCTTTGTTAAACAAATACTAGTAAATGGACTTATACTTATATGGTGCTTTTCTATTCTATTTGAGCACTCGAAGCAGTCTCTTACTAAGAGGCT